GACTTTCCACGTATTCCCAACTTGTGAGCCTGCTCGCCTGAAGTTATGGTTGATTGCTCTTCGGCTGGATATCAACACACCCATTAACGTAAACTACGCCAGAGCGCATACACACCTCACGCATCGGCTGCCGTGCGCGTGCTCAAGGAAGTTGGACATAGTGGTGTATTAGAGGTAAAAAATTATATAAATACTGTTCGGTTTCTGGCACAAACTGATCGTTTCGTGTCTTAGGACATCAATGTGTCGTCACGAGCCGCAGGGTTTAATTTGGATTTGTCTGTGCATGTTTTTTTTACTCTCATAGATTTTGTTACCATTGCCATGCATTATACGACTGATAGACTGCAACGGTTAAAGTTAAAAATCATCAAATGTGTTCTACTGAAGAAACAAAGTCACCTACATCTTGGATGCCCTGGGGGTAAGCAGATAAACATCAAATTTTCATTTTTGGGTGAACTATCCCTTTAAGTTCCAACCCTGCTTCAACACACCTGTCTGTAATTAAGTAGCCCTGAACACCTTGATTAGCTGGTTCAGGTGTATGTGATTAGGGTTGAAGCTGAACTCTGCAGTATGGTAGCTCTCCAGCAGCAGGGTTGGTGACCCCTGTTAAAGACATTTGTTGATATAGCATTTTACGACAAAACTCAAAATGGCCGACGCCCATAAAGGCAGACATAGGAAAATTAGGAATCGTTCGACTCGGTATGCCGTTCCGAATCTAACGAGGCCAATCTTATGATTTTGGTCAAACTGGCCAAAAGTTCACAGACGTTATAAGCAGAATTTTACATTTTTTTAATCTTTTGACCAGTAGGTGCTGATGTGGTGAAACTCCTCATGTGCCATCAGGTCATGCTTTGTATAACAGGTACCACGTTTGGTCAGAATCTGCTAAAGCGTTGCGAAGAGATAGCCTCATGTCCATTTTTGAGTGAATTTCATCAAATTTGTTAACATGCCAGAGTTTGCGATAGAGACTCCAAATTTGCTATGGTTAATATTGAGACTGTCCTCTATCTGTGTGCCAAATTTGATAACTTTCCTGCAAGTGGTTCAATGGGCTTCCCAAGTGGAAGAAGTAGAAGAAGAAGACTACTTCTAGAAAACTAACAGATACAATAGGTACTTAGCCTTTCTATCATGTAGTCTTTGTGGAATGCACAGAAAAACATCACAAACAAATGACTCATGAACCTGTTTTTTAATGACGTTAGAGGTATGAATTAGCCTGTTGAATACTTTAGTTCTTTTTTTTAATAAGTGATATTTTAAGCAATGAATTGCCTGTGCAAAGAGGGCCAGTTCTGGTAACTTGATTTGGCATTTTCCATGGCTGGTGGGCAAACAAAAGTTGATTTTGTGCCCGTCTACATGTGCTGATTGGGTGAGTGCTCATGTGTGTTATCTAACCTCCAGTCCATTTTCTCCACCAGGTAGGCACATATTAAAAAGCCGGTGCGGTTGAAGCCATGCGTGCAGTGAATGCCTGCAGGAGACAGAACAAAAACAGTGACTTCAACACAACTGAATCACACATTATTCACACAGCCCACCCACCCACCAAACCAATCATTCTGGACACATGAACGATTTTCATCCTTCGCTGAAATCAATATCATCATTTTTGGTTATTTATGCAGTCTGTGCGTATGTGCAGGACCGGTCCGCTGGCCTTTGGAGTGATGCAGTGGGAACTGATGACAGAACAAAGCCCTTCCTCTCCTGCTCACTGATACACATATTAAATGTGCAGCGCTGAGTGCTGAGTGTTGACTCTGGTCAAGCCAGCCGCAGCGCCCAAATAGCTGTGTGAACTTATTAAGATAATTACAGTCTTCAGCAGGGAGTGCAGAGAGACGTGCTTTCTGAGCATTTCTTTCATAGAGCTGGCCTTTTGTTTTGAGTTTGCCACTTTTGCATCAGGGTAATAATCAAAGAGTAATGAAAAACCGGCCAAAGGTGTCCATATAACACGCATAGTAGCAGAGTCGCAATATACTAGAACGGACGGATAAATGTGATATTTAAAAAATGAAAGCAACTCTATGTAATTTTGTGTATTTTTGTGAGCCTCCTACAGTTAAGTGAGTGGATTTCACTGTCGTAAATATATCAGTGGATTGACCGATATATATTTAGCGGTCGACCGATATTGATTTTCTGATGCCAATATCTCAGAGAGAGCAGAGTGGACAATAGTCAATGTAAAGCCAATAAATATGGTATCACACTATTTAATTTAAAGATAATAAAAACACATGCGTACATACCAACTGCTGAAATGAAATTTATACTTGCTACATAATATTTATATATTCATATAATCATTTGAAAATAAATAAATGTTAACAAACAATTTGAACTTGATTAAAAAACTAATTCTTGATTCTGTAATCCCATTATAATATTTTTCACAAATAAAGAAATTGATAAAAAGGAAGTAATTGAAAGTTTGCAAGGTTAGTTAAATTAAATGTTTATTAGATGTTCAAAGACTTAAGTTATATAAATGCATATTTGCTGAATACTGACAACAGATGAGAAAAGTAATCTTTCGCACACCGTTTACTTTCTTTGTTTAACAGTTCTGTCTAATAATTTATTTGACAGAATTGTTAAACAGAGCGAGCAAATTAACGTAGACCGAGAATTGGAATAAAAGTCTTGTATATTGAAGCCCGTTTCTGCCACAAAAATAGAAAAGGTAATTGCAACTTTTTATCTCACAATTCTGACTACTTTCCTTGCAATTCTGTGATGTAAACTCCCAATGGCAAGAAATAAAGTCCGAATTGTGAGAGAAACGTCACAATTACCTTGGCGGAAATGGGTTTCTATTGTCCTGATTCGGATTCTGACACATCGTCCAAATAGAAAAACCTATCAGCCGATGCCAATATTTAAGAAATGCCAAATATCGGCCAATGCATCGTTGAAGGCTGACCTGACCACTGGAAAGCATCTGAAAGCATCTGGCAATGTATCTGTTGCTGCCGTAAAGCAATCCACCCTTTTTGCGTAATTTCGTATCTGCTCATCAAACCTACACATTCCCAGACATTTGGGGGGAAAGTAGAAAAGAAACAGAAGCCATTTGTCTTAACAGAAGTCAGCGTACCATCAGAATAATTTTGAAACTAATATTTCAAGATTAAAAAAAAACCTTACATAGAGTTGCTTTAAATATTGATATTGTGTTAATACTACACATATACTAATATTGTAAATAACCCAGGGCCAGTTCACACTCCAACAAAGCAGGTGGCGCTAGTACACCTTAACGCCACTCATCACAAAAATCACCACAGAAAATCATGAAGTGAGACACTCTACATGCACTTCGGCGCATGACTCTCACGGTGCATTATGGGCATTCTCTAGCCATTGAGCGTGCACCAGTTGTACACTCGTTTTTGCAGTGCATTGTGGGATTGAATGAGTGCACTCGAGAACGTCCACTATGGTTTCGGACAGCACTAAAAATGGCTGTTCCCTCAAATAGTGCCCTATTTAAGGGTATAGGGGGCGATTTCGGACACAGCCGAAGTTTTTTAGATTCTTTAAAAAAGACAGTCTGTCAGACAGCCCAGTCTACAGGAAGTGCCAATCAATAGTAAATACTTTTTGCATGCTTCTGTACAGTTATGGTTACAAACTCTCATTCCACCTCCTTATGCTCGTATTTTTCCATTTGATTCTTTGGCCAAAAAAAGAAAGCACAAAATAAAGTTAAAGATAAATTTGACTAATACATTTTTTTTTTTTTCAAAACTGTACTGTAAATTCTTTTGCCAATGATAATTGTGCAGTGAAAATTGTATATTTTGTCAGTCCTAGTACACAGACAGATATTTTTTGCTCTGGGGTTTTCAATGGTTACCCTCGAAACAGACCCCGTCTTTATTCCTAAAGTAAGATTTAAGTTTAAGTTGCCAGTCTGTGGATTTACAGGCTTGGCAGCCAAATGAGTTGAGTTATGAAACAATCTGACAACAAAGCATTGGCTTTAACATTGTATGCCCAATTGCAGTTATCTTACTACGTTGAACATTTCACTACATTGACTGAAAGTTACATTGTAAGGGTCCGTTCACACAAAACATGTTTTTGTATTTAAAAACTTGAGCAGTGGAATTTTTAAAAACTGCAAGCAGCACAGTGGAATGCAAAGACACATTCTGTGTGAACAGCTTCAAAATGTGCTTCCACAGACACTGAAAAAGCTAGAGTTAAGCATGTTGAGTTCATGACTTTTCCCCCGTCTACACCGGTGTCACGCCAAAAGCAAACAGAAGCCATTCCGATCAATGATGCTGTCTGCTCCGGATGTGAACCGCGCCGTACTGCCGACAGTAAACAGAAACCCCATTCTATTTCTGACAAACTCCAATAACAGGAAAAATAGATGCGGAAACATCAGATCTTTCTGAAAGGCTGCTGTGTTCAGTGTGGACAGCATCAGTCTGGTGTTAGACTGATTCACACAACAGAGCTTCTAATGTATGCAGTCCTGTCGTGTTCATCCTAATGAACAATCTTCAGTTCATCCACATAAGAGTGGCCAATATACCAGTTGATGACACCTGATTGAGGAAATAAATGCAGACAGTAAGCTGCTCTTGATTTGTAACAGCAGTGATCTGACCCACCAGCAGCGAAAGGAACTCACTGCCTTGAATGAATGAATAACTTTATTTCTAACATTTAGAAATAATATAGTAAATAATACTGTACTATAATAATACAGATATATATATATATATATATATATAGTCAAAGATAAGCAT